TACCTTGTAATAATTTTGGTGCTATAAGTAGCAGTCAGCCTTGGCCTCAAAGTGTATGTGTTGATTGGACTCAAGTGCAGTTTATAATGTTTTGATGAGAGTGCAGTTCCTAACATATTAAAAGATACTGATACAAAACCACTTTAAAGGCAATCAGAAAGACAAAACGAGATCAATTCAGCTTTTTTTCCCACAAGTCTAATGTCCACGCTGCCCCCTCTCTCTGAGCAGAGCTCAGACTCAGAAGATACATTAAAACACAATGATAATTGAAGAATCTCCCAGGTGACTGGCACAGCAGAGGAAGCACTCTCAGTGTTATCCCAGCCCACATCCTGTTGTGATAATGTTTCAGACTTTGGCAGGGACAGCACACATCAGGCATTAGGGAGGAGAGGGCAGTGGAGATGAAGAAGCTAACTATAAGACTAAACCATCAGGCTGCAGCTAAAGGAGCAATTAAAACTCAATAAAAAGAAATTATTTGTCTATCAAATATGTTTCAATCTGAGGGTTTTCTGCTTATCTGTGACATTGTGACATAATGTATCAGTTTCATTTATGGTTTAGTCATCTTTATGAAGAGGAGTAGAAATGCATACCAATGCAGACCAGATTTCTGCAGAGCCCTCACACCCTGGACACAAACTGCTTGAACCCCTCTCCTCTGGACGGGTCACTGGACACCAAAACAACCAGACATAAGGACAGTTTCTTCCCCCGGGCTGTCACACTGATGAACACTTAACCCATAGCATGTATAACAGAACAACAAACCTCAGTAAATATACAGTACCTTTGTATATGTCTATTTGAAAAACTATATCTAAACTGTATGTATATGTATTTGTAATTTTTAAAGTACTTTATTTTTATTTTCCTAATGCACATTCCTTTTTCTTTTTTTGCTCTCTCAGCCTTATTTTGTTTACTTGTCTACTCGTTGCTTTATGGAAGAACATTGTACACACACATTGAGAGCCACTGTACAGGAGTCAAATTCCTCGTGCGTCCAACACACCTGGCCAGTAAAGCTGATTCTGATTCTGAGTCATCGCTGGCGGTGTTGAAGACACAGAAGAGTGCAACTTGCACCTGTGGTGTTGACATGAAAATCCCTAATATCATCTGTAAAAGGATAGCAGGGTTTAACAAGCAGTAGGCCCCAGGTGGTGCTACATTGTAGAGATTCAGTTTTTATTTTTAGTCCACTTCATGCCATACACATATATATAGTATTTCCTTATAAGGCCAGTTATAATCATTTTCTCTAATAACCAAATATGAAAGTTTAACTGTTCAGATCTGGTGACTTTCAATCCTTCAGCACAAAAAAATGTATGGTACACACACTGTAATGTAAGTATAAAGAAGTGAATAAATCAATGGATATGCAATGTTGGTGTGTTTTTCATATTGTTATACATGATTATCTAATGTAGAAATGATGGCTATAGCTACATCTATAGTGGAAGGGAAGACTTCTGCCTTATGTGCAGTTCACAGAGGAGCACTGGAGACAAACCCTCCAGCTAATGATCTCAGATTTGAGTGGCATGACCCTAATGATTCACTAATGTAGTCTCTGTATTAAGTATAGCATTACTACAGACACTCTCTCATTGTGTAAAATAGCTCATATAATACAGTACAGAAAGTACTTTGGCTATGCAGACATATCAGGTTGATGCCACCAGTACAGTGAAGGGGGTTAGAGTCAGGCTAATATACTGTATGGTGGAGGCTTGTGAAATATCTTTAATGCACACATTGTTCACACTGTATGTAGAAGATGCCCTTGATAAAAGAGAAAACAATGTTAAAATGTTTATCTGCTGGAATGCTTTCTTTCCACGATACTTTCCACTTGTACCACTTGTTTTTGCAGAAAATCCATCATCTTAAATTAACAACACAGTCACATTTAGACACAAGTGGTTAAAAAAAAGTACACGATAATCCTGTGCATCGCTGTAAACCTATTTAACTGCCAGGGTGCTGAGGACAAGTGTATGATTCATACAGGGGAAATTTTAGCACACAACATAAAAATGTTTTGACTGCGAGCGTGGTTAAGATATGTAACTAGATATTTCTGTGTGAAATACTTTAAATGTATTGTTTATAGTGTTATGAGTTTAAGTCTAAATCTCTTGGTTTTCAATTCATATTCTATCTGAAAAACAATAGAAAGCAGATTAGATGTTCATGTTGCTGCTGTTGATAGCAGCAACGATAGTGGATGTAATTGAAAACTGATTATTCTAAGCAGCTTCCCATCCCTCTTCTGGACTGGACCCAGGGGAACAGACAAATGGAAAATATGGGAAACAAAGTGCTTCATGTGAAGGCAAAGCTTGTTGCCGTCATTGTCCAATTCTAGTTTCAGCAACACCTACTGGTATTCTCAAATAAATGCAATGCAAAATGTTCTTACCTCTGATAAGGTGATGTATTCATAGGAAATCTTGCAAATATAATGAAATGCATTTCATCTCCGTGCTGTTATGTTTTCTGTGACCCGCCCTCCCCTTTTTTCTGCCGTTCGTGACCACCGTTAGATTAATTCTGTCTTTGAGATAAAGTATTGAAAACTTTTTGATGGCTTCAAGTACAAAAATGACAGATGCAGCATGCAATTGGTAAAGGCATTGTGAATCCTATATATATTATTGAAAAAAGAAGAAGTTTTTTACCAAATAACTATTGAAAACTTGTTCTGTATGTGGGCTACTTATGTACTGTATGCATTTCTGATGATAAATTAAAGGAAAACATATGTTAGTGGGCTGATACTGACTAATCTTAGTCCTCATCTTTCAGTAGTAGATCGTTATGTGCAACAGATCCTCATTCCTGTAATAAAAGATGATGAGTGTCAGTCCGTTTTCTTCAGTGTGCTATGCTTCAATTTCTAGATCGATTAGCATCACACATGCAGGGATGGTGGAGTACTATTTCCTTCAGTTTGCAAAGAGCATTTTACTGACACAGACGACTGCTGTGGTCATGATCTCGCATAAAGACTGAACATATCAGCGAGCTAACAACCTGAGATAATTCAAGCTACTATCAGGCAACACCAAAAGGTGACAAGAACCTTTTGCACTTTAATAACAGTACATTCTCAGATGTGCAGAAACAGATATCTAATGTTTTATCAGAGGTGAATTTACTATATGTCAAACAGAGTCTCTGGATGTGTCCTTGGGTGTATTTGTGCAGTGTTTTGGGAACAGCTTCAATAAAATTTCAGAACATTCTAAGGATACACTGCTCTTATATGTTACTGTATATTTACAGAGGTTTTTGACCCGAAGCACACTGTTCTGCTGGGGTAATAATACTACCAGATGGTGCAGGAAATTATCCTTTAAGTTGCCTGAATTAGCTAATAAGCAGAAGGTCAGTGAAGGATATTAATTCATATAATGTTCTTTGTGCTCCTAATAGGCTTCTCATTAAATTTGCTACAGTGTGCTACGCCTCTGCACCTCATTTTACTTTAAAATTCTCTGATTCCATCAGTGTCCTTATTCACCATATAATGCACCTCCATGGACATTTAGTAGAAAATTGAATTGGAGTAAGCACATCCTATAATACAATATGAGGCTTATCCACCACAATGTCAGAATAAGGTTTTCTTTCAAAACCAAAAGCAATACAAAAGAAAAACCCCTCATATGGGCATACAGTAGATATATGCAGTTCATTTGTGAAAAAGAAAGTGTCACAGGCCATCCTTCACTATCAAAGGAAAGAGAGTTAAGAGACCTGCCCTTGAAACACACTCTCATATTTTGCATACGTTATCAGGCTGCTGCAGTCTTTACAGGAAAGGACAGAGAACGTGAGGATAAAAGAAATGAAGAAGAGACCGAGGCGGATTATTTTACATAATCATATCTGTAGCCTATGCAAACATGTTATTTTACACATTTAAATACCTGTCGTCCTCTGAAGTTAATGAGCTATATGAGCCTTTTTACTTTCCACATGCCATAATAATAGCTGTGAGATCAGACTAGATGTCAACCAGAAAAGAGGGACTAATTTCAGAAATGGCCACTGAAAGTGAAGCAAGCAACAGCAGGTCATTTGTGCCAAAGTCTCAAAAATCATTTTCACTACCCAGGTTTTAGTTGGTAGACAGGGCAATACTGAGGACTCCCCAGTAGGTCACGTGACTTTTTTCTGCGAATTTAAAAGTTGTAATCTATTTTTTTTTGTATGGATTCCACCATGCTCAGGAAAAATTGGTGCATTATCCTACTGCGGTAATATTATCCAGTAACTGTAAATTTGGATTGCACTCAAGAAATCACTTTATTTTGCAAGATGACTTTTGGAGGTTGCAGTAACTTCAATTCAGTAGTTACAGTCTACAGTTTTAAAAAGATGAATATTTTATGGGATTTTATTATTAATATTATTTGTCTTGAAGTCTAAGTAAGTGGGCAACTAAATAAACAAGTTGCAGTAAGAATTCTGCATTTCTCCACCAGATTTGTATCATCCAGACAACACAAAAAAACAAATGCAACAGAAAATTGGATTACATATTTAACTAATAAGAAGAAATAATAAAAATCCTCTCATCAAAATGACTGACAGCCTTTGACTGATTAATTTGTAAGCTGAACTTTTATTATCATGATTTAACTGGGAAACATATTATTAGACTAAAACTACATTTAGTGTTTACTACTGTTTGTCCATATTGATTTTAATTGACATCAATTTTTGTGTTTTAATTTTAGGTTTTTTAAACGTTATAGTACATTTCAGTGACTGGTGTAACGCACGGTAAACCGTGCTTCAATAGAATCTTGTCTTCTCATGCCTTCAACATTGCCTATATCCTGTCTGCGGCTGCAGTCAGCCTGCTTGTCTCTGTCACCAGTGACCACAGTGTCATACACCAACAGACCACTGGAGGGTCGACGACACACTGCTTATCTTCCCTTGGTTTCACTTGGCCTAAAGAAAAACTTTGCCTGCCGTTTTAAAGTGGGCGGAGACCTTCCAATCCACCATACTCAATAAGCGTAATTTACCAGTGATGGAAAGTCGGTGGTAGGAGCGCGGAGGGTGCAGTGGAAACCTGTGCGTCAATTAGAGCGCGTTCACCAGTGAGCAGCACAAGGTGACTGAATAAGCTGTGGCAGGCAGCTTTTTGGTACCATTGCATATGTTTTTCTTCACGTTTGGTGACATTAAGTGAACTTTTGTGATAGGCTTGGTGGTGGTTGTTTCTGCGCTCCTTAGTTAATTGCTTTAACAAGACTATGTTGACCTTCCATTTAGAGTTGTGCCTTTTGCTTGTTCAGAAGATAAAGATGGAGTGGCGCCAGCAGACCAGTCTCAGCTGTGCAGAGGCATTTAACGAGGCTCAGCGGTGGATTGAGGTACATTATGGTTCGGGTTTTTGTTTTTTTTTTGCTTCAGAGATGTGCACCTGTTTGTCTCTGTTGCACCGCAGCTATAAGTGTAATCAGTCATTTAATCACTTTATAGAGATAGGAAATATTTCACATTAGTCGATGGTAATTTTCATGAAAAATCACTTGCCCACTTCTTATGTATAATTGGCATTCTGACTCACAAACATTTGATGCTGATACCCATATTTTAAGGGACTTCAACCGAGGCACTTTCACAAGTTTATCTTTGAGTTCAAATGCAAAATGCAGCTTGATGAAACTCGGGTATGAGTCTGACACCTGCCAAAGAGAGCTGTACTGTATGTGAGAATGTTCTGTGGTTGTCAGATAAAAAATGATTTGACTGCAGGACTCATGAGGCTTCAGACGAAAATGCACATGGAGGGAAGGCAGATAATTGGGTAATGTTTTTTAAAAATGCACCAGCATGCCTGACATGAGGTTTTCTTGAGTGTTTGTCCATTCAGATGTCATGTAATGGGTGGGTTACATGTGTCTACATGGCTTTCTTTGATTAGTCAGTACTAGCTCTTTGTACACTTATTGTGGTTAAACGTTTTGACATGCATATCTCTGGGAGGATGTGGTTTAACAGCAGTGTTTTCTAGGTTGCTCTTGTCCAAACATTCTACTGTAGAACTCATGATCCTTAAATCATAACCAATGAATACAACAAGTACAATGTGGTCACTGAATGTTGACCAACTCTAAATGGGACCATTAATGTCAATTGTGTCTGAGTGGATCATTATGAGAATTCTGTCCAGAGCTCTCTTGGCAGTAAGCCCATGCCAATTTCACCAATCTATTTCCCTGCACTGACAGATGAAAGGATTGATGAACGGTGAGGGAAGGTGAGGCATGCTGCTTTTAAGGAAATGCCTAATGGTGCCATAAACTCTTCCATGTGACAGACTACAGTGGGAATGTGTTAGCACAGATTGCACGATAATAGGCTTCCATATATTTTATATGCAACTGTAGAAATTGTTGTTTATCCTTAGCACAGTTCCAGCAGCAGTTACAGTACAGATAGCTGTTTACTCTGTGCCTGCAAGACTCAAGGCGTAATAAGAACGCACTGGCCTTTTCTACATTATGTAAACGGGCCATTTTGTTAAACAGGAACATCACAGTCCAGTTTATAAGCGGCAGTGCCAGTCATGTCCATAAGAGTTTCTCTCTTTCTCACTGTAATCCAGGGACTGGAACTAATGATTATTATTAATTAATCATCTGGTGATTTTCTCACCTTTCAGTTGAAATCACAACATGCTAAAAATGCTGGTTAGAATTTCTTAGAGCCAAAGGTGAAGTCTAGGATTTGTTGTTATTTGGGTAAATCCAAAGATTCATTTTACTTTTAATATACAGCACAGAAAAGTGTTAAATTCTCACGTTTGAGAGACGGCAACAGTAAATATTTGGCTTTTCTGCTTGGGGGAAGAAAAAAAAAATCTAAGAAATTGTTGCAGATAAATCAATGAATTGTTGCAGGTTTAAATTTTACAAGGTAGCATAGAGCAATGGTGTTTTCATTCCAGGCTGTCTAAAGAAGTTTGCAATATACACCCCAGAACATAGGGCTGAATTTTATTAAATCTTGGGTTTCTTAGGGGTAATTGTTAATTTAAATGACCAGTTAAACTTTGGTGCTATAGAACAAACAGAATCTTGCTGATCCAGTATACACCAATACTAATGTTTGCAATAAGATTGGCCACGGGAGACTGTCCACTCCCATGCATCATCGCAGCACTTGACCATCCATCTTGTCAGCCTCTTTAGGCTAAGCTACTTAAAATAACATGCACAGTATTTGCAGCAACACATTCATGTAATGAACAATCTGAAACTATAGTTTGAGGTCCCATTACAGTGCAAGTGCTACTGTAATTTGTACTGTGTTGGACCTCCGCGTGTGTATTTGAAAAACTAATCTCACCAGTAAAACACACTACATAAAGAAACTTCGAACACATGTTAATGGTGGCAAAAAAACAACTGTTCAGTGGAAAATGGATAAATTCTAAACATAGCTGTATTTTACTTTTTTAGGAAGTGACCGGAAAATTGTTTGGCTGCAACAACTTCCGTGCTGCCTTAGAGAATGGTGTCCTGCTTTGCGAGTGAGTAATGATGCTCAAAATTGCATGTTTTATGACTTAGGAAATTACACTTTTATTTCATAAAATTAAATTTGGGTTAAATTGCCATGCAAACCTATGGTTGGAGAGTGTAGTCAGGCTAATTTGCAAGCTTAGCATCAGTAGTGGCACTGAACCAACTTTACAAAATAGTAAAATCTAAAGCTGCACTCTGGAGGTTCTTCAGAGTACATAAAGATGCCTACAGTATATGTTAAGGTAAACACAACATTTTTACATTTCTTTTTTTTTTTAATGCAATTCCTGGAAATTAAAGGCAGGATTATTAAAGCCACTCTATTTGGCTTCCCATGTGGGATGGGGCCCTTGTGATTCAATATATGTGGCAGTTTTTTAGGTACACCAAGCTAAAACTAATGCAGCAGTCCTAAAGCATGGATCAGGCCACATATTTCTGTCCAAATCTAGACGGTCAAGAGCATGATTTCTCTTCACACCTGGCCTGAACCCACTGGTATCAACGTGTCCCATCAGGCTCAGTTCAGGTACCCACACTCTAAACAGTCCTGTGGACAGGCCATACTGGTGATACTGTTGAACTGTATTACAGTTTACAGAGAGGTGTTTCTGTTATGTAGCCTCACTGATATAAATGTAATGGAGTCTTAAGTTCATACACTTCAACATCACCAGAAACTCTTCACCTTTATGAAGGAGAATTTATTGCAGTACTGGTGTATTAGAATGTTTCAGTTTATCTTGGTGTACTTGAAACTGCCATCTGAGTGTATATATTCTTATATGTATGCAGCATAAAGATGTTTAACTTATTGTTTTCACTGACAGCCTGATCAACCAGTTGAAACCTGGCATCATTAAGAGGCTAAACAGACTTTCTACTCCCATTGCTGGCCTGGTGAGTTGCCTTTTGCAGCTACTGCGCTGTGGGTCTTGGGTCTGTGGAACAAGTAACCTTGCTGTGTAGCACATGTCAAACAGTTTAGAGGACCTTTATAAATACCCAAGCCCTATAAACACTTGCAATGCAATTGTGGATTTTGTGTGTATAACACCAGCACAGAGAGAAAATAAGGTGCCTGCCAGTCAGGAAGTTTTGACACACTGTGTGGTTTCCTGTTAAAGGCACCAATAGACTGTGTTGCTACAACTTGAATAATCCTGAGACTGCATTTCAGTGCAACTAACCAACTTTTTTTTTTTTTTCAAATGGGCATACATTCAAATGCAGATTTTTATTTTGGCTTCAGGCTGTGTTTTGTTGGCTTCATAAAAGTATAATTGCCAAAACCGCCTAAAGCAAGAGCAGGAAAAGATCAATTGTACCCTCCCTTCAGGAGTCAATAAATAGACAGAGCCCAACAGTGGATGCTGGAGTGGTGCTGCAGCAGAGATTCAGCACTTAGACAACCTAAAAACCATAGTGGTAGTTTTGCATGTTGACTACAAATTAAATGCACTTTATTTTAATGCTGGCATTTAAGATGGATGTCTCATTTTTGTCAACTGTTCAGTCGTGTGGACATCTGAATAAGTACAGAATGATTATTCTGTATGTAGAGCTTTCAGGCTTTATAGACTTTGATAATCATAGTGAACATTTTGCTTCCTGTTCAGTTTAGGGAAATGTGTTGCAGTGTATTTGCAGGGGAAGGCAGATTATTTGTAATAAAAATATGCATATAGAGACAAAACTGATAATACTTTCTTTTTAAACTGAATTTTATATCATGCAATTTGTCAGTTTACCCCTAGAGGCTGCCAAAGCATTAGTTGACTATCAATATTTACAGTACACAATAAAACTGAGCGCACCCCTGGACATTATCTCTAAAATGTTAAGCAACTCTGTCTGCTTGATACTGTTGCATCTGTTTTAGCCAAAGCCCAAGCAGAATAAATCCAGTTAACTCTAACAATTGCAATGTTTGGATGGACTACAGGGAAAGCTTCATATTTAAGAACCAAAAACAGTCAGTACACTCTTGATTAGTATGTTCACCTTTATGTTTGATGACTTTCAGTCACCGTGGGCATGGACAATACCAGTACAAATCTGTGGAGAGATGTTCTGCCCTTGTACTCTCTCCCACCTTAATGAGCTCTCACAATATGGCTTCTTACTTGATCAAGCAATTCCTTACCATGTAGAGCCTTAGACACAACCCAGGCCTAAATTGAGAAAACATCTGTTGCAGTGGTTATAGGTGTTCTCACTTTTGTTGTATAAAGGTTGTACTTTGGGACCTATATTTTCAGTGTAATCTGTCTGTTAGCCTACATTTTATTAAGCACATAGTGTACTTGGTCTTTGTTTGTTGGTTACATACTGTAAAACTAAGTAGTCCCAACCCCAGTGATATAGGGTTGGCGGTGGCATTTTGCAAGTTCACTGACATTAGTTGATTCCAAGCAGCAGCGGCTTAGTCAACAAGCCCTTCTGGTTCTATCAGTTTTATGCATCCTCTAATAATTTTAGCAATCTCATTTTGCTGTCTGTCTTTTTAATCTCCAGGATAATGTGAATGTTTTCCTGAGAGCCTGTGAGAAACTGGGACTGAATGAGTCGCAGCTTTTTCATCCAGGAGACCTGCAGGACTTGTCTACTCGTATTACACTCAGGTATGGTTGTCTTTAAGAAGCAGTGTCATGTCAAGTTAATTGTATGTGTACAACTGTATTGTCACTTGATCAGATTTAAATGTCCAACCATAGTGTCTGAAATAGTTTTTTATTTTTATTTTATCATGTATACTGGCTGCACTGAGTACATTTAACACTAAGGTATTAATGGAACAATTCTGTAAAAGGGTTGATTGTGTACGAGCCTCATAGCTACTTTGCATTTATAAATGTACGAACTTTGCCTGATAGGCTGTTGCGTCATACTGCATGAGGTGACGGTCTTTATCTAGAATTTCTGATAACTGATTAAGCATTGCAAATGAGAAGTTCTGAAATGCCACCATTTCCTTTCCTAATGGCTTTCTGTCTTGTTTGCAGATATATTGCAAATTTTTTAGCATGAGGAGCACCCTCTTCTATATAGGTATTCATTTTTCTTTCCTTTTTAGGAGAGATGAAGGCAGCAGAAGACTCAAAAATGTAAGTTTATTCTAAACCTCTTAACTACTTTCATTTTTTTATCATTTCCTGATTCTCATTTTTTTTTTTTTACCCAGTGAGTTTTAAAACATTAAAGGAAACTTTGTCCTCCCCTACATGAAACAAAGGACCATTGATGCTTCCACTGAATACATAAATAGCACAAGTTAGTACTAAACCTCCCATTTAATCATCACACCATTAACAGTACCTGTAGCATGCAGGTTCCCGCTCCTGTTGCTTCACATCCTACCAGCACCCAAACTCATCCAGAATCAGACTGATGGAAGACAAGGGGGTGGTTTAGCTGACTGACTTTGGACCTCTTTCCATTAACCTGACATTAACCCCCTGCACCAACATGTAGCCTTACACTGTGTTTTATCATCATGCCTTAAACTCTGTCTGTAAAGCTGTTTTTCCCAACTTCAATAAGCGTGCATGTTTTATGTATGGCTCATGTGTACACACTTCATGCACTGCTGGTATTTTACATGTTTTGCAGCTTGCAAGTTTGTTTGGTTATCTGGGAAGCCTCATTTGACTCATACAATAGCTGGCAACTTGGGCTCAGTAATGAAGCTGTTGGTCAGAGCTCTTTGAATTGGATGGAGCTTTAAGGTCTTTCGCGCCTATTAAAAGCAACCGTTTTTATGCCAATTTTCAACTAGAGATGGTGTTTACCAGCCTAGCTCATATTCAGTTGTTAGTATTTTACAAATGGGGCACATTGAGTGGCTTCAAAACAGAGCCCTCACTTTTTGCACACTGTAGATTTAATTAAAAATCAATAAAATTGCATTTACTTTCCTTTCTTGCAAATGCAAGATTTCAGTTTGAAATCATTTGTCACATCGTTATGGGTTAATTAAAATCTGCTTCACAAAGTGTGCAAAAATGGAGTCTGAATAGATTCTGAAGCTGCAGTACCATTACTGTATGTCATCACATGAGATTTGTGGTTTTGTCTTTATATTTACAGGTATAAAATTCTTAATCTCCCACTAGCTCTCCTCATAGTGCTACATATCCCAATGGAATGTGTCTCAAGCTACTATGAATGTCTTTGTTTCACTACAGTCCCCTCTAAAGACGTATGTGATGATAGATTTGTGATGGGTTTAATTTAGGAGGTTAGACAGTTATTTAGACCAAATGTATCTTTCCTTCATAATGCCTATTTAAGTATTTACAAAGGCAAATGGAGTGTAAAGAATATATTAATCATTCTGTGGTGACAAAATGAACTTCACTAACATTGTTCATTCTAGTGGGATCTTGGGATAAAGCATAAGTCCTTTGGCGTGACATTAATGAGATTTATTGCTGCTGTTGACAGGACGTGATGAGTGATTTAAGGGTTCCTTAATAATTTGCCATATAAAGTATATGTGGTAAACGGTAGCATTAACTGATGATGGCATGTTGCATGCAGTGTGATTTCCTTTGCATGAATCAGGTGGCATGCTATTGGCGAGTAAGAAAAACCTTTTTTACTGCTCAAACATGTCATTCCTTTTCCTCTACCTTGCATTGTGCTATCAAATATTTAGCCTTTTCAGTCATCTCTCAATGTCCTACATGTATTTTTTTTTCCTGTTCACTACTCTGTAATGACTTGGTTGCAAAATCCTGATATGTAGCAAATATTCCTTTCAACAAAGACTGCTGGTGTGCCAGGAAAAAAGGCAGTCTGTCAAAATGATATCCCTCTCCTCAAGGCAAATTAGTAATAAATTGTCAAACTCTTTAGCTGCTGCAATAATAAAACCCTAAATGCCAGAAAGAGGCCCATATATCACAGGCCTTTACCTGCTGTCTTTACTAATAGTTGTCAGACATCTGTCTGTCGGTAGTGTTTGGCACTGTGGATGGTGTTGTAGGTTGTTTTGTGAGGACCAAGTGCCTCATCTCAACCATATTTCGTGTAGCTGATGCTGTTGGTGTCTCATGTGGTATAAAAGGGAAGAGCAAATTCCCTCACTATTATTTTGGCAGACTGATATTTTAGAGGCACAGCTTTTGGCAGTATGCCTGCCCACATCTTTGTTGCAGACTGAGATGGCTCAACAGTTGCTACCATAGGTGAATTGACAAAAAAAATGGGTACAGACATTGATGACTCAAGACAATTACTCCTAATGGATTCACTCATCTTACTGACTTCTCCTATAGTGCCACAATGAGATTGACATTAATAGTTTAAAATTGATGCATCTATGTCATTCTCAGTGTGAATTGTAATCACTTGACTTTTCATTAAGTGCCACCATCAGGTCAGAATTGTAATTGGTCAAATACCAAGTTGCCAAACAGCAGTATAACACACTGCATTCCTAGTAACCTCAGCTGTACTTTGTGTTTAGTAGGTAGGTAGCAATTGTTAGAATGCTAACACACTAAACTAAGATGGGGAACATTATACCTGCCTATCATTATATTAGCCTTGTCATTGGCATAAAGCACTACTGTGCCCAAGTATGACCTTAACAGAGGTATTATTGTAGCGTGACTGTAACCTAGTCTTAATGCAAGAATCTACTGTACACACACTATCCTTTTAACAGTGTGTTTGCTTTTTTTGTCTTCTTGAGAATGGGTTTCTGGACTCTGTATTCTATGGGTCAGCTTTTTTAATTAGACCTGTCAATATACCATCCTTTCCCATTTAGTAAAAAAAAAAACTTGACATCACCTGGCACAGTTTGGCACCTCAAACCCGCTTTGGGAGGGGAGTGATTATTAAATGACACACTCGAGCAACATTTTGCTGTTCCTTTTGGATTGAGAAGAGAGGCCGTTTTTGTTGGAGTGGTAAGGCTGAGCTCCTACTTGGATTAACTATGTTCTCCTGTATATTGTTGTTTATGCTGCTAGTGCCAATTCTGGGTCATAATTTGAAGAAATTGTAAATAAGCAAGCAATTCAGCACCAGAACTTATTTCGGGTTTGGATGGATTAGATGATTTTGATCAGGAGCATTCCATTTGTAACTTTTTTTATATAAAGCATAAAGGGAATAAAGCTGTGTATATGTGGGTTTTGTCCTCCATACGCATCTCTGCCCACTCTTTTGCAGGTCCTCATCACTATCTACTGGTTGGGCCGCAAAGCTCACCTAGACCCATTATACAGCGGTCCCCAGCTGAATTTTAAGGCCTTTGAAGGACTGTTAGGTTTGGCCCTGTCCAAGGTAAGCTGTTATTTTAGGCTTTTTACACAGTTGTGGTCCTTTTTTAATATGCATTTAAATTTTACATTAATCCTGCCTTCTAAATCCAGACTTTAGATGAGGGTGGTAATGTATTTGTGAAAGACAGCTGGTACCCAGAGAGAGGAGAATGTCAGCGCATGGGACCGAGCTGTAAGAGAGAGAACTCGGTGGACAGCGTTGGCTCTCTGGACTCCCGGGCTCTCCGCCCAAATAGTGAAGGTTTGTTTACTTTTTCCTTTCACCTTCTAGTCACTTTTGCACACAACACACTTTCATATAATAATGATGCGTCTATGCCCTCTGCTTTACAGAAATCATTTCTTCACTTAAACACTATGGGCGTTGTCACACTAATCCTGCTTGTACTTATTACGTACAACTCCATACCTGCTGCTTCTGCTAGTTTTGCCTATGCTTAAATGACCCCCCCTGAGATTTTTTTGCTACTCTTAAACAGCAAAAAAAAAAAAATCCAGAAATGTATTGGTCTAGTGTCAAATTTAACACTTAAAGTATATGCTTTGTTTAACTTTCTATTCCATATGCATGATGGCTCAACTTACTTTTATCAGATCAACTATCTAGAAGGTGCTGATCCTCTTATTTAATGTCAAACATACACTTTCTGTATATATGTGTGCGTTCTAGGTTGTGGAAGTGATGCAGAAGCTGAACAGGTGTTCAAGATGGAGACTGCAGCCCAGCAAATCCAAAACTCTATCCCACTGCTACAAAGAAAACAAAGACTGGAGGACAATGGAAAGGGCTGTGCCAGTCCACTTTCCAGGTACTGCTGATGTATCAGCTACTGTACAGAAAAAGTTAAAGCTACTAACTCACTTATCCATTGCTGACTTGTCCATAGAGCTGTTGGCGTTTATTTCCATCCCAGTTAGTTTTGCATTTATTTTATTTTATTTTATTTATTTATTTATTTTTTAAGTCTTCTTCTTCTTTCGGCTATTCCCGTCAGGGGTCGCCACAGCGAATCATCTGTTTCCACCTAACTTTATCCTCGGCATCCTCTACTCTCACCCCAGTTAACTTCATGTCCTCTTTTAGCACATCCATATATCTCCTCTTTGGTCTTCCTCTTGACCTCTTGCCTGGCAGCTCCATCTCCAACATCCTTCTACCAATATAACCACTATCCCTCCTCTGTACATGTTCAAACCATCTCAATCTGGCCTCTGTGACCTTGTCCCCAAAACAGCCAACCTGAGCTGTCCCTCTGATGTGCTCCTTCCTAATCCTGTCCATCCTGGTCACTCCTAAAGAGAACCTCAACATCCTCATCTGTTCTACCTCCATCTCTGCCTTTTGTCTTTTCCTCACTGCTACACTCTCTAACCCATACAGCATAGCTGGTCTCACTACTGTCTTGTACACCTTTCCTTTGATTCTTGCTGACACTCTTCTGTCTCACAACACTCCTGACACCTTTCTCCACCCACTCCAACATGCCTGCACTCGCCTCTTCACCTCTTTCCTACACTCCCTGTCACACTGGACTGTTGACCCCAGATACTTAATCCTGCACCTTCTTGACCTCAGCTCCCTGTAACCTCACTGTTCCACTTCCCTCCCTCTCGTTCATACACATGTATTCCGTCTTACTACGACTGACTTTCATTCTTCTTCTTTCCAGAGCAGACCTCCACCTTTCCAGGTGTTCCTCCACCTGCTCTCTGCTCTCACTACAGATCACAATGTCATCTGCAATCATTGTCCACAGAGATTCCTGTCTGACCTCATCTGTCAACCTGTCCAAAACCATAGCAAACGAGTAGGGACTCAAAGCCGATCCTTGATGCCTTCTTTCTAGAGCAAACCTCCACCTTTCCAGGTGTTCCTCCACCTGCTCTCTGCTCTCAATACAGATCACAGTGTCATTTGCAAACATCATTGTCCACGGAGATTCCTGTCTGATAAACCATAGCAAACGAGTAGGGACTCAAAGCCGATCCTTGATGTAGCCCCACCTCCACCTTGAACTCCTCTGTCTGAC